TTATAGGACATTGGATGATGCATAAAGAATTTCCCATAACTTTCTAATCCCCCTCCAAATCTCTTTTTTTCAGGAGTAATTTCAGAATATTTTATGCTTATTAAGAAGAAACATGGAAATACTAAAGCACATGATCTGCACGGTATCATTGGCTTAGTGTGTTGCAGTATTAAAATCAAAGGAGAAATGTTAGTGTCAGCTATAGCATAAGACTTTCTTATTTTCTACTGAAAAACATGCTGGATTTGATTGGTCCCTGTCATGTGGACAGAGTATTAATGAGACAAATAATGTATCTGCTCAAACTACCTTTCATTATTTACGAGAACTTCAAGAAAATGTGTAGAAACATGGATGTGAGCTTTGGCTGTCAGTTTTGTGAAAGCATTTCAATTTTTTTTTCTGTGTAAGTAACCTTATTTAAGCAGTCAGGTGAATGATTATTAGAGGAGAAAACCTGCTAGAATATTACACTTATGTTTATGTGTGCACACTATACTTACGTGCGTGTACAGTATACTACTACGACTTCTAAACCAGAAATGGATACTGGCATGATGAAGTTAGATGATCACAAATGGAAGAACAACTCTGATTTCCAAATCAGCTCCAAACAGAGTATGTTTTTGAAACTGCAGTATGCTTTATAGTTCTTTTTGGTTCCTGAGGTTAGATTTTAAAATGCAGAAATCTAGTTACTTGTTCAGATGGTGTTTTGAATGTTTGTGTATTGTCTACTGCATCCCTGTAATAGATTTGTAACAAATTCCATTGTTGTTTTTGGGAAGAAAATCCTTAGTTCAGTGACAAGCATGAGCTTGTACAAGCTTATGCTTAAATGATGAGAAAGGTTGGGAGTGAAAACACCAGTTGCCTGAAAGAAAGATGGTTTATTTTCATTTTGGGGTTTTATGCTGTCAGTTGCCTTTGAAAATACCTCAGCTTCTCTAGTTTAAAATGCTTATTGCAGTGCTTCTGAAATTATAGTGAATAAACCCATTCTTGTTGATGACCCTTTAAGCATGTTGGCATTTCCAGTTGGACTTAGAATTCTATTTTTTTCTCTAATAATCTTTCCGTCATTAATTGTTACGTAGACAAATCCTGCAGTCTGATTCTTTTACAACTACTTTTTTCAGTGCAGTGTGTTTTCATTATAAGAAAATAATGTTAATATAGTAATATTTCCTATTGTCTTGAACTGGGTTGACTTAAGTAGGGACTACTGACTTAAAGTCTGCAGAATGGGGTCTCAGTGAAAGACACTTTTGATTATAACTTACCTCTGTCCCAAAGATCAGCTGTTGCTTTCTGATGACTGCAACTTGTTAGTTTCAGAATTCTGCGATGGTGTCTTTTCTTGAAAGTGTCAAGATGTGTATTGGGTTTCTGTGGCAAGGTCTTGGTAGTGGGGGGGCTACAGGGGTGGCTTCTGTGAGAAGCTGCTAGAAGTATTCCTTGTGTCTGCCGCTGGCCAAGGCCAAGCCAATCAGCAACAGTGGAAGCGCCTCTGTGATAACATATTTAAGAAAGAAAAAAAAAAAAAAACATCTGCGGCTCAGTAACCGGAGAGAGAAGAGAAGTGAGAGGATGGGAAAGAAAACAGCCCTGCAGACACCAAGATCGGTGAAGAAGGAGGGGGAGGAGGTGCTCCAGGAGCCGGAGCAGAGATTCCCCTGCAAGCCTGTGGTGAAGACCATGGTGAGGCAGCCCGGCGC